CATCATCATCATCATCATCATCATCATCATCATCATCATCATCATCATCATCAGCAGCAGCATCATCATCATCATCATTATCATCATCATCATCATTATTATTATGTCCACTCAGCAGCCAGCTCTATGCACTTTACAATGTACATTACATTACAGCGGAACATGTCATGATGGCCACCCACTGTCGACGAGAAAAGTGGTTCTCTTAGGTAGGTGGACGTCTCACCTTTGTGTCAGTATAACCGGAATGTTAAAATATATGTAAGGAGGGGCATTGGAAGTGCCGTTGTAGAGAGGTGAGTTTTTTTATACAGGTGGCTGTTAGGGTAGGTATGGACGTAGATCCATTGAGGGAAATATTGTGTTGCTGCCTGGAACTCTAACGTGATTGCCACTAACAAGGACAGGGGACTCGAGACAGCAGTAAAAAGGAGTCAAAGAGTAGCAGTAAAAAAGCTGCTGCAGAAAGAGTCAGGAGCCCAGAGAATGGTGCAAAGGAGTTGAGGAGATGGGGGCAGAAAGTGGAGACGCAAGCAGACGACAGAATATGACTAGAGAGCAGGAAAGTAGGTGAAAGACAATTTTAGAGAAGAAACTTTTTCTGTCGTTACACGGATTCGAACCTGGAGCCTTTGAATGAGAGGCACACACCTTAACCTTTAGCCACCAGTCCCCGTCACCCAGCTTTACAGATAATATGATAGCGGGTGTTGGCGGGTGCTCTGGTGTGGTTTGCTTCATCTTTCTAATAAAAAATATCTTCCTTATCTGTCTTTCCTCCTTCTCCTTTTTCTTCTTATGATACTATCTATCTAGTAACACCTCTGTTCTTCGGCACTTTTATTATCTAAGTATGCTTTAAGTGCCGTATAACTCTTCATAAAACTGAAGATTTAGGCTCTAACACAGCAACATAATTCAAGAAGCGGAACTTCTGAATTTAACACTACCTTCTATAAATCCAGGCCATAATTATACATGTAGATGGGACTTTTGACATCTTCCCATACAACCTATGATGAAGAGCACCCCACAGGGGATTCGAACTATTGACTCCTCACCATAGCTCGGCATGATACCAATTCAACTAACGGCACGTCTCAGCTGGTAAACGGCTCGCAATATCTTATAACCAAATGCTATTTATTCTGTCCAGGTAGTGGGTGCTATCTATTATTGTAATTAGCAGCAGCAGCAGCAGCA